ATATATATATATATAAAATATATATTTTGTCTATAAATATTTTCTCCCTGACAATTTTTAGACCAGTGCAATTTTATCTTGTATTGGACGTGTCAAATATGACGAATCATGAAATGGAATTACACTATACACAAAGTAAATGTATATATATGGAAGGTAAAGAACCATGCAGAATTCCTGTTCCAGTTGACCGATGTCCACTTAATAAATTATCTATGGTAATAACGGAAATATCGCCTATTTAAAAACATACTGAAATGTAATGTAAGACATACTATTTTATCGTTTTGCGCTTATAGTTAAATGGTGCTGGTGATATAAGTGAACTCCAAAAAATATGTGCCGAACATATAGCTTCATTGGTTGATCTACGCTGGCAATTATTAGGTACTGAATCGACAGGGAAAGCAACTCTCTCTGGTATTACTCTAACTCAAGATATGTTGGATCTAGTGAGAATGAGTCCTCTTCAATGGGGTGCGTAAATACTGTTTACTATAAGTATGTGTATAATAAAGAACACTTAAAATTACTAACATTTTCCAGAAATAACTATCAACGATATTATTGTAAAAGCACAAGAGGAACTGTCATGTGCTTTGGGTGAATGCATCAGCGTTGGTGTTGGAGTGTGCAATGCTCTGGAACATCCTCTGAGTGATCTTACATTGTCCATTAATTTCTATCAGGACCATCATAACGGCGTTAACAATTATCAATTAGAAACAAGGTTATCCATAGCTGGAGCAAATAAAGTCGTGCTGCCTACTGTAAGTCACTTTTAATAAACGCAATGTATAACTGTATACGCACGTCTTACATTCTCTATTTTATTATGAATAAATAACAGTTACAGGAATACGGCAGAGCCTATCATGAATGTCGCGTAGTATTTTTCACTTCTGGTCAGTACAAAATAGATATTCAATGCAGTAGTAAAGAATCCGCTCCAAATTCTCCAATACTTTATTCGGAGCTTATAAATGCAGGGCATACATGGCGTTATATACCGCCCATTGAAATAACTGTCGACGATTATTAATACTGATATAAATATAAATCACTGTCATCAGTAAATTGTAATATTTGTAAAAAAAAACCGTATTAATTATATATGTGTGTGTGTGTGTGTGTGTAAAAATAAAGAAGATATTTACTTTAATGAAATTAATAATTGTTATATAATTCTTATTGCGTGTGTTAATATAAATTTTTTATTTCCAACAATTTATATATGTATACACTATAAAAAATATAAATATTATCTTTTACTTCCTTCCAACTTTACTTTCTTACCCAGAGGAATCATTTCCATCTCTTGTAAATTCCTCCTGAACTTTTTATAAAATTCTAGTACAGCTGTATTAGCCCATACCTGTTGGCTATTAAAATCTAAGACACGTAAACTTTGTAAGCTCTGAGCTCTTGAAAGTGCTACATAAGATTGACCAGCATCAAATACTCTCGACAAGCACATTTCCACACAATCTAAAGTTAAACCTTGACTTTTGTGAATTGAAAAGGCCCATGCTAACTTTAAAGGAATTTGTTTTCGATGTATAACAACAGCAAAATTAGTTTTGATAGCCCATTTTTCCATCTTTGCTTCATAATGTGTTCCTGATCGCAACTTAATTATAGGTATATCATTTTTAAAATCAATAACGACACCTCGAGCACCATTTACTAATCCACTATTAATATTTATATTTTTCATTAGCATAACTTGAGCGCCAACTTTCAGTATTAATTTGCCAGGTATAGGCAGCTGCTGATCCAACATAGATGTCGCAGAACTATCAGAATCTAATGCTGTATATACTTTACTCTCACCTTTAAGTTCATTCAACTGAAATTCATTGATTTCATCGGCTTCTTTTACATGAGAACATAATCTAGTTGCTAATATGCCATTACTTTCAATTTTTTGTTTTGCAGTTTCCTTTAAAATATCAACAATATCATCCGTAATTCTACCTATCCTAATGCTATTTAATATTTTTACAAATGCCTCGTCTTTTTGTCGATGAACAATTCGCAATTCAAAATTTAAGTGAACACACTTTTGCCAGGCCTCGCTTTGAAAACAAAATTTTGCTTTGTCATTAGTTTTAGAAATAGGAGGTAATTGAAAGAAGTCGCCACACAAGATTAATTGTATTCCTCCAAAAGGTCTTTCAGTCCTACGCACGTGTCTTGCCACTTCCTCAATCTTGTCAAAAAAATCACCATCTATCATAGAAACTTCGTCTATCACCAAATGCTTTGTTTTCCTCCATATTGAAGCTGAAGCTGGACGAGAGGCCAACTGGATACATCTTTCCTTGGTGCCAGTGCCCACACCAATGCCAGCAAACTTATGCAATGTAATTCCACCTATGTGGCAGGCTGCTACTCCAGTACTTGCTGTAGCCATTGTTACATCTGGAGGAAGGGCTGAGATTATTTTCTTTAACAGAAATGACTTTCCAGTGCCTGCGCTACCGGTGAAAAACACATTCTTGCCACTAAGCACTGTATTTAGGACTTGAGCCTGTTCCTCTGTCAGCTCTCCTGTAGTAGGATTCTCGTACAACTTTTTTGATGCAGATACTTTGGGACTATCGTCACTAAAATGTTTTCGCTTCCTGACTACGCTCGGCGATGGAGTGGTGACCGTTGCACGTGATACAGCCATAGCTTTTTCCTTGGCTCTGTTGACCTCTGCACTAGTAGCCGGACTAATATCTTTAACACCACCTTGCTGTACATTTGCAAAGAGCTTCTCGTGCAAAGGATCCTTCATAGTCTTTACTTCTTGGCCTGTCAGCTTGATAAATATAGTCTTTAAAAAATTAATCAGCTGAGAAGAGGGTGCATTCGATAGAAACAATGTACAGTTCTGTTCCTTGAACTTGATAGAAGCCTTTCCCTCGGTCATGAATTTATTAAATACCGATATACCTTTCAGAGGTAGCTTTGTGAGCACGTTTGCCTTCTCGGCGCGTACCTCTACGAGCATCTCGCGCTGACGATCTCGAATTAGACGTAGTGACGCCGTTCTGTGAGTCACTTTTCTCAGAATAGCTCCTTGTGCGTTCAACCATTCCAGGATAATGGTGCAAGTTAACGAGCAACCATCAGAATCCATGTCCTCACAAATACCTATAATCGTAGTCCTATTAAAGCAGAGTTGGCTTGATAAAAATGTAACAATTTTAATGATAGGGACAATATTTTGTAGAAATTTATGTCACCTATTCACGACATCAATACGAGCAAGCAGCGTGAAAACTGAAATGACGAACGGCGATGGGTAGTATTAATAACCGGAAAGCGCGCGTAATATGCGCCAGAATGCATAACTTTAGAAATTATAGGGACCTAGTGGACGATATTTTCTTTCTAGATATAACTAGAGAACGAGTTTTCTTGGACTGCGTTCGGATTCCCACCTGGGTGCTCCCCGGATGTCATATCATCTATATTCTATAGGTTTGTTCTTCTTGATACACGAGAAGTGTAAAGTGTATGTACACCATACACTTTTACACTCCATTTTTTGGGAGGGGGGAAAATGTCATGTAAAGTGTAGGCTTTTTAAGGAGAACGCCAAAGTGTACATACAACAGCTATTTACAGGGCTCAGTAAAATAACTGATACGACACACACACACACACGCGCGCGCGCACACACACACCTATTTAAAATATAAAATATAAAATAAGTTCCAGAAACTTATTTTAAATATAAAATCGTAGTAGTCGATAAAAGAGTGATACGATTTATTCGAAATAATAAATATAAAATAGGTTCCAAAAATTTATGTAAAATAATAAATAAGAAATACGTCGCAAAAAATTATTAAAAATATAAAATAAGAAATAGGACCCTAGAATGCATTTTACTTATTTAAAATATATAATAACTTTTATTTTAAATGTCAAAATAGCTTGCTTTTTTAAATTTGAATTTATTTTTGAAGAATATTCTTATTTTAAATAACAAATTGTTTTCGAAAATTTATTTAAAATAACATATTTTATATTTAAAAGAAGTTCTTGAAATCTATTTTTTATTTTAAATAAAAACTACATTTCAAAAACTAACTCAAAATATAAAATAAGAAATATGTATTTGAAATAAACGTTTTAAATAGGAAATACGAAATATTTAAATAATTTTATTTATATCTTGATACAGGGTGGGCCATCTATTGGTACGTTTTTGAATTTCGTCGTATGGCAACACCAAACGAGCTACAGACCCGAAATTTTGACAGTTTATTAGTCATACCGTCCGCGGCACGAAACAACATGTTTTCTCTTGAAGAGCGTTTTGAAATTTTAAAAACTTATTTTCAAAGTCAGTGCTGTGTCGCCGAAACTGTACGAATTTTGAAAAGAAATATGGGTCGTGATAGAGCACCCACCGAAGGAGCTATACGCAAATTGGTGAGGAAAGTTCGTGAGAAAGGGATGTTAGTGGATGACAGAAGTGGTCCCAGAGCTCGGACAGTGCGCACACCCGAGAATATTGAGGCTGTGGCCCAAAGTGTGAGACAGAATCCGACGACTTCAACTCGACGCCGATCGCAGCAACTGAGCATTAGTCGCACCAGCCTGAGGAGAATACTGCACAAAGACCTCGGATTATTCGCCTACAAGATCCAGATGACTCAGGAGTTGAAAGCAAATGACCATCCGCTTCGATATCAGTTTGCTGTGTGGGCTATAGACCAGCTCAATAATGACGTCGATTTTGGTCGAAAAATCATCTTTTCGGACGAAGCTCATTTCCATCTCGGCGGATATGTGAACAAGCAAAATTGCCGGATTTGGGGCTCGGAACAGCCACACACAATCGTAGAGAGACCAATGCATCCTCCAAGAGTCACAGTTTGGTGTGGATTTTGGAGTGGTGGCATAATTGGCCCATTTTTCTTCGAAAATGATGCTGGAAACGCCGTTACCGTCAATGGCGAACGCTACAGAGCCATGTTGACCAACTTTTTATGGCCTCAAATCGACACTATGAATGTGGACGACCTTTGGTTTCAACAAGATGGCGCCACATGCCATACAAGCCGACTTACCATCGACCTTCTGCGCACCAAGTTCAACAACCGCATAATCAGCCGTTCAGGAGATGTCAATTGGCCTGCGCGTAGCTGCGATTTGACACCGCTGGACTTTTTCCTGTGGGGTGCCGTTAAAGACCGATGTTATGCGGATAATCCAGAGACAATTCCAGCTTTGAAAAACAATATTACGACTGTTTTGAGTGAAATTGGCGCCGAGGTAGTCCAAAATGTCATTAATAATTGGGGTGACCGAATGGCATACTGTAAGGCCAGTAGAGGGAGCCACATGAACGAAATCGTTTTTCATTCTTGACGCGGATACTTTTAGCTTCACAACAAAAAAAAAATTAATAAAAAATATCAATGTATGCTCATTTGATCGCATTTTTAAAAACGTACCAATAGATGGCCCACCCTGTATATGAACATACATTTGAGTATACATTTATAAGTTTATAACATTTCCGGATTTTTACCATTTCAGTTTTTTTATAACTATAGCTTTTAATTAGTGTTATTATAGTTATACTTACAAGTAAACCTACCTTTGTGTGACTCGCCGATTTCATTGAAACTTTGCACACTTGTAGAGTAGGCAAAAATAATAGATATGTATTTTTTTTTATCGGCAATGATCAACATTAAAGGGGTGAAATCGACCTCCAAAGTTGAGGGTATTAGGGCATCGTCATGATGTTTCACATAAAAGTAATGTACCGATCAACACGAAACTATTACAAAATGTTTTTTTATGTTAGATAGTAAAGTTT